TTTTTTTTTTTTTTTGAGCCAGTAGAAATAGAACAAGGGCAAGAGAGAGCAAAATCATCTCAAAAGGCAAGTCTGCAAAAACCACTGAAAAATGAAATGCAATATTTGCCCCGGTGTCCCTTTTAAGACAGCATTTGTCATTTCCCAAGGCTTCTGCTGTGGCAACAGGAGGGGGCTGGAGGAGATTGAAAGAGCAGACACCCTGTTTTGGGTTCAGAAAGCATCATTTTGGCAGGGAGCAGCCAGCCTTGGCCAAGGGGAGAGCATGTGCTCACACTTCAGTCCTGGAAGGTTTCTTGGTGAGCTTAGGCCAGATCCCCCAGAGGGCTGCCAGGAGGATGCAGCAGGGCTGAGGATGCTAAAACCCAACCAGCCCTGCACTCTGGAGGCACTCACAGCTCTCCTTGCCTCAGGGGGTGCATAACTGCAGAGAAACCCCAGAAAGATGCACGGCAGCCAGGCAGGGAAGAGGAAATCCAGCATCCCTGAGCTTGGCTGGGCTCTGGAGATGAAGAGGATGAAGGCACAGACTTGCTGGCCCTGGTGGCACTGAGCCAGCTGTGACACAGACAGGGTGACAGCCCCTGCCAGGGTTGGGGCACTGTGTGCTCACTGAGCCACCCCAATGGTCAGGAAACTTTGGGAAGCCAGGTGGGAAAGCGCTCCCCCTCTCCTCTTGTGGACACTTGCACTGAGGGAGACCCTTGTGGAGGCTCTCTGACTCTTGTGTCCCAGAGAATCAAAATGTGAGGTTTGTGTTCCCTGTTCTGCACCCTGCTGGGTCAGGCAGCTCCCACTGAAGCTGTGGGGGCATTGCTGGGAATCCCACAGCATTTCCCTAGGAATTCCTATGGATGGGTGCAGGAGGGGATTTCTAACCCAGCTGGAATGGGAATGTACTCAGAGCCAACATCATTGATTGCATGTTTCTTCCTCTGCCTTCCCCACACCCATAAATATTCAAACAGGAAAATAAAATTATTGATCAGCTGCCTTCCCATTATAGCAACACCCACTGTCCTGCTGGCTTTGGCCATTTCCAAAGCCCTGACCACAGAATTAACCCTCCTGGGGGAAATACTCTTCCTAGATATTGAATTCCTTCACCAGAACATCTTCTACATTCCTCGAGGCTGGCACAGAAACCAGAGTTTGGAGTTTCACATCTTTTCCCCATCTTTTCCCCAGTGCCTCCATTTTCCTTTCCACACCCTTTCAGTCCCACCTCTGCCAGGTAAACCAAGAAATCCCAGCCCTAAAAACCTTCCATCCAAGTCTTGGTGAATCCATTCTCTGAGGTGGGTGTTCAGGGGCACCAACAATCCAAGTGTGTGCAGAGCAGCGCCAGAGACTCCAGAGTCTCTGCCAGTCCCTCACATTGGGCCACAAACTCCCTAAATGTTCTTGCAGGCTCTTACAGCCACCGAGGCACTCCGGAGCTCAGGATCTGCTCACTCCAGTGAGGACTTCTGGGACACATCATTATTTCAGTAATCAAAGCAAATGCTTCCCAACCCCATGCCAGGAGCCATCAAGAAGCCCCCGAAGGCAAGGGGAGGAGGGGGATGTGGCAGCCAGCACGGAGCAAATGGATGTTGCAGCAGTGAGATCCTGCCCAAGGTAGTGAGGGATGGCCAGGCAAGAGCTCTGCTCGCTGGGAATGACTGGATAGGGGCTCCACAGCTGGAAACATCGGCCTCTCCTCGGGGCTTTCCCAAACAGCTGGGTTAAGACACCTCCCAGCACTGTTTGAAGTTGTGCTTTCTGCTCTGACTGAGAGAAATTTGGAGTTTCACAGTCAGAGACCCAGGAACTGAGTCAAAGAGAGGCCCAGCAGGGAGAGAAAAGCATCATTTGTGGGCAGCTTCATCGATCAGCGCTGACTTTCTCCCTCACAATCACTGTTTTTCATCCCCTCCCACTCCCACTCCATAACACAACACAGAGATCCCTCCTCAGATGGCAAAGCTTTGCTCAGCCATCTCCAGTTCCCCCAAAAGACAGCACTTTGGGAAGCTTTTCCCTTTAAGCAGCCTCAAAGTTGGCTCTCAGCACTGCTGGCACGAATGAAAGAGGTTCCAGTTCCCCCTCCTCCTGAATCCCATCCCTTCCGAAGGGAAGGCGAAGGATGACCAAGGGAAGAGAAAAGCAGCCACGGCTGGCCTCTCACCTCCCTGCCCTGATCCTGCAGGGATGCACGGAAGGTGCAGGGCCACTGTGGTCCCCGAGAGCCCGAGGGGAGCCCCGGGGCAGGGGCAGGGCTGGGAGGGCGATGCTGGCAGCTCCTGGAGGCGAGACACGGGCGCATCTCCCCTAAGCCAGGCAGCGTTCCCCGGGGAAAGCAGCTCGGTGTCCTCAGGCAAAGGGGGGCAAAGTGATCCCAGCACTGCAGCCCCCGGGACCCGCTCTGCGTCCTTTCAATGCGCTGCCAGGGCTGGGAAAAATCGCTCCGAGTGTCTCCTGCTTCCTCCCATTCCCTGTCCGCTGCATCCACACACCCTGTGCATAAAGGATCTGTGTCCTGCTCGGCTCAGCCATGCAGCCACAGGAGGCAAGAGTTACCTTATTCCCACAGCCGGAGCCGCCTTCTCTGTCCATCGTGGCCGGGAAGCTGCTCCCATTCATGCTTTAATCCCTGGGAACAGAGGCACGATTCAAAGCGCCTCTTCGCCCATCCGAGCGGGCTCCCCCAGCAGCCTCCGCCTCCTTCTCTCCTCCCTTTTCGCCTCGTTTGTTGCGTCCGGCTTTGTGGTGTTTTTGTTGGGTTTTTTGGGTGGTTTTTCTTTTTTTTTAAAAAATGTTTTCCTTCTTAATCCAGGCGGCAACCACGACGCTGCTTCATCGCATCCCTGTCTGTGTTTCACTCGCAAAGGAACAGCCTCGGAGAGCTCCCCGCTCCTGCTCTGCCTCCGTGCAGCTCCGGCTCACAGCTCTGCCTTCTGCAGCGTGGCGTTCGGGAAAGAAAGAGACGGGGAGAGGGAGGGAGCGAGCAAACAGGGAGGAGGAGGAGGAGGAGGAGGAGGAGGCCAGCGGGATGCGGGAGGAAGGAGCCAGAGCGTGGCTGCTTTGTATCCAGAGCAGCGCCGACAGCCTCTCCCTGCCAGAGGAGGACCTGCGCTGCTAATGGTCGGGACCAATTTATCCCGCCCAGCCAGGGGCACCGCTCCCTGCGACAGGGAGGAGGAAAAGCCAGGGAAGGCTCCCAGATGGTCCCTTGAGGAATTGGTTCCTGCTCTCCTCACTCTCATCATCACCCACCGAACTGGCGGCCGCGGGCAAGGGGAGCCGCTCCCCCGGTTCACGGGAGAGTGGGGATGGGATGGGGATGAGATGGGGATGAGGATGAGATGGGGAAGAGGATGAGATGGGGATGAGGATGGGGATGAGGATAGGGATGGGGATGAGGATGAGATGGGGATGAGGATGAGATGGGGATGAGGATGAGATGGGGATGAGGATGAGATGGGGATGAGGATGGGGATGAGGATAGGGATGGGGATGAGGATGAGATGGGGATGAGGATGAGATGGGGATGAGGATGGGGATGAGGATAGGGATGGGGATGAGGATGAGATGGGGATGAGGATGGGGATGAGGATAGGGATGGGGTTGGGGTGAGGGGGCTCAGCATCGCTCAGAGGAAGCTCAGAAGGGGAACACATGCTGGGTGCCAGGCTCTGCTCCCCTCCAGCCCCCGGGGTGGCAGGCAGAGCTCAGCCCCACTGCCAGAGCCCCAGAGCTCCTCTCTGGCTGTGCCTGCTCCGATGGCTCCCAGCTGAGCCCACCTGGGCTTTGGGAGCAGTGGGCAGCGCTCCTTACATCTCATCCCACTCCCCTTCCATGCAGCACCAGCCTGCCCACAGCCCCGCTCAGCCATCCCCACCCAAACACCAAATACCCCATGTCCCTCCTGGGGGCTGACCAAGGGTCCTGGAACTGGACAAAGGGCAGCAGGAGCGTGATTTCCTGTGGGAAGGAGGGTCTGGATGTGACTAGGCTGTGACATCTGCACCGAGCCCAGCAGGCACACAGGACCCGTGTGTGACCTCTATCCATGCACAGAACCAGAGGGATGCTCTCTTCCTCCTTAGGGACCACTTGGAGGAGGCAGGGCTTGAAGGGCAGGGAGAGCAAAGGTCTTATCTCCTGATCCTGCCCTTTTGCAGCTGACCCAGCAGGGCTGACTCACGCTCAGCAGCACATCTCTCCCAGCTGGCCAAACACCACAGTGAGTGTGGCTCCAAATGCCACAGCTGGGCAGTTTAACCTGAGCCAAAAGTCACTGCTGAGCTTGGGGGCAAGGCACCTTTCATCTGCCCTGAGCTGCTTCCAACCACATCAATCCTCTCCAGGTACCACCATCTCTTCCTGTTCCACAGTGGACGTGCACAGATCCACAGATACTCCCCTGCTGTTCCCTCTCTGTAAGGTTACAGTGCCATGGAAACCTGTAGGTATAGACAGATTTACTTATGTTTTACCAAAAAAGGAAGAACAAAGTAAAAAAACCCAAACATTCTGGTGACTGGGGAAAGCTCAAGTACACAGGGATGTGAGATCCACAGCGTGGAGCAACCTCAGTGATCTTCACCAGGGATTCCCACCATTTTCACTGGACTTTTTGATCCATTCAGCATTCAGACTCCAGTTTTAACTCGTGCATCTCCAGGGGATGCAGAGATTTCTGCTGAGAAGTTTGGAAACCCAAACATTACCCAGAAATGATCAGCCATGGAGGCCCACTGATAAATCCCAGCTGCATCATCAGAGGGACAGGGATTCCCACACTCCTTATTCCTGAAGTGGGGCAAGCTGGAGGACTCCACACCACTGCCTCAGGTGGAAATGAGCTTTGCTGAGCCCAGCAGAGCCTCTGCTGCACAAAGCCAGGGAGATGACGCCTTCAGGCCATGCTGAAACATTGTCCAGGGTGATGCTGGAAGGAAGGAACTTTAAGCAGCCTCTCCCTGCAAGCTGTGGAAGAACAGGATGAGCAAGGACTGCCAGCCCAGAGTCCTTCATGCACAGCCAGGCAGCTCCTGCTCAGCCACCTCCTCTGCAAAACACGGCAGCTCCTGCAATCAAAGGGAACGTGGCCTTTTTTTGTCCTTGGTCTCATTTTCTGCAAGGTACCTAGGGAGAGATCAGCTCCAAAGACTCCTTGCCTGGGAATTTTGTGCCAGCTCAGCTAGTACTAAGGGTTTCACTGAGCTCCATGACTATTAAAAATGCATAATGTCCACTTATATCAAGAGGGTGGATTCAGACCCAGTGCTTTCCCTGCGTGTCCCAGGCTGTTATGGCATGCTGGAGATGGATAGGAAGGATCTGTCCCTTGAGGCCCATATCAGAATGAGAAAAGGGCACATTCACTGAATATTTCAGGGGAAAAAAAAATGAGAAGAGGCATAAAAATGCTCGTGCCACAAAACCTAAACACGTAAAAATTCAGGGGGGAGGGGAAGGAGGTGTGCCACACCTGAGATTTATAAAAATTATGGGTGAGCAGTAACATTTCAGTCTGAGCCTTGCACCAGTGCCTCATAACACTCACAAAGGTGGAAAGCATTGGGAAAAGTCTCAAGGAAGCTCAGGAAGGACATAGAGAGGCATTGCTTCATCCCTGTGGACAAAAATTACAGCGTGACGCACCCAGAGCTGCTTTTGGCGATCAGAGCAGCAGAACAACCATGCAAAGACACAGCCCTGACATTTCCCAAGGTTGTCCCTTTGAACCTTCACATATCCACTTGTCTGCACTCTGGATGGGGCTGTGCTCCCCAGGGCCAGATTCCAGGAGAGGAGAGCAAGAGGGGAATGGGAGGAGAGGCTCAGCCAGTCCTCCTGCAGGATCCTGGGATAAAGGGGGAAATGTGCTCTTTGGATCCAGGGAGCTTCACACAGGATGCGAATCTGGAAGAGGCAGCATCGCTGTTGACAGCAATGTGTATAAACAGAGCAGCATTTCCCTGCTCCCTCCCCCTTCTTATTATAGCACAAAACACCCCGAGTAAAATACATACACACAACAATCCACTAGAAAAGGAAAACAAAGCCCGGAGCGTGAGCGCGCACACGCAAACACAGAGACACTGCTGGAGAATACAGCATAGATCCAATACCTTAAATGCCATTTTTTTAAATATTAATGCTGTGCTTCCGGCTAGGTTTATGTAAGGTTTGTTACCACAGGGCTGGAGGCACATGGAAACCCAAAGGAGATGCTCCCAGCCCCACACCCTGTGCCTGCCCCAGCCACCCTGGGGCTCAGTCCTTGACCCCGCTCTGCCTTGCCCTTCCCAGCTCCACAGCCAGGCAGCAGCAGAGCCGGGGCAGGCACGTTCCTGCCAGGCTTTTTTCCTGTGAGGAAGCAGAACTACAGCTCCCTTTTCTCCTCTCCCCCGTGTTTGCCATCTGGCAGTGCCGGGAGCATCCGCGCTCGGAGCCGCGCCGCGGCCAGGCACGAACACGAGCGGTGCCTCTCCCTGGGTGAACAGCCGAGGCTGCGAGGGGCAAAGGGAACAGCACGAGGGCAAATCCTCGGTAAACAGCAGGGTATGTTTCAGCAGAGCACGCACAGACACGGTGCTGGGCTGCTGGGAGCAGCAGCAGAGATCCCCCCTTGCATCTAAGCTGGCTGTGAGCCTCTGCTGCTGCCCCAGCCACAGCTTCACACCAGCAGCACTGCCTCGTTCTCCTGCCTGAGCACAGGAATGAGCTCCCCTCAGAGAGTTTCCCCAGGTTATCATCGCCCTGTGGTGCCAGGCTGCAGATACAGCTGCCTGCAGAAACGGGGAGAGGAGTGGCATGGGCCAGATGCTGAAACACCAGGCCTGAGCTCCTTGGACCCAACCCTGGCCTTGGTTCAGGGCTGAACCCTGAAGGTTCAAAGGGACATCCTCGGGAAATGTCAGGGCAGTGTCTTTGCATGTTCTGCTGCTCTGATCACCAGAAGCAGCTCTGGGTGTGTCCTGCTGTAATTTTGTCCATGGGGAGGGAGCAATGCCTCTGTGTGTGTCTCTGTCGCTCAGTCCCACTCACCTTGGCACTCAGCTGAGAGGGACCAGAGGCTCTGGGAGAGGCTGCGGAGGAAAAAATTGCCAAAGTCTGGCAACTTTGCTAAACTGACACAATTCCCCTTTTTCCCCACAGTGGCTGTAGCTGCTCATACCCAGAAATTGTGTTCACCCTCCATCCAACCAAACCCCCCAACCCAATGTGTTTATGGTGCTCCCTTCAGTCACCCCAGCCCATCCCACCCTCTGGAACAGATCCTTGCTCCTACTTCAGTTGTCAAAAATATCCTCCAACAAGCAGCTGCTGTCCTGGCTGTTACTCACCAAGGGCCAGAGACCAACAGGCTTCCTTCCCTCCTGGAGCACAGGGAGACATTTTCTTCCCTGGCAGCAGGGAGGAGCTGTCCACCCCACCGAGGCTCTGGAAGCGGATGGAGGATGTTTCTGCTCCCTGATGTGTGGGTGCAGCCCTCAGGACGCTTCACAGCCTGTGCACAGCAGTTCAGGAGCAGGTCAGAGGCACAGGAGACCAGAGGAGCCGTGGTGCTGTATCAGCAGGTGGTGCTCTCCCCTTCAATTAAGCCCCAGCCTGGCGTTTTTCCACCCGGATTTCCTCCAGTAAAGACACCTCAGCCTAACACAAGTCCCCTCTTCTCTGCCCTGCTGAGAGCCTGAGCCTGCATCAGCTCAGAGCCAGGAGATGAGAGCTTTGAGTGGAGCTCCCCACGGACAGTAGTGCTCCTTAACCTCCTGGAAGAAACTCTTCATGGGCTAAAGACCCACCACAGGTGAGCTGAGCTCAGGGGAACATGCAGGAGGAAATGGTGTAACACCCTGCAGGGAGCTGGCAGGAGTGCCTCAATAACCCCCAGACTCCTTGTCCAGCTCCAGCTGACATTACCCTGGCCAGGATCCAAGGCAGAGATTGCTCAGAGAGCAGAACGGCACAGACGGTGCTAAATCATGCACCAAAGTGTTCTCTGAGGGGCTTTAATTTATTGGGAAGCACCCTCTCAGCAAACAAACACCAGCAGCTGTCTCCACGTTGCTCTGTGATTAAGCTCTGTTTCCAAACCCTCCTCGCACCCATCACACAGGTCAGGAA